TTTTAAAGATCATTATTTTGTGTATTTGGTGTAACAGAATATGTTGACATGCTTTAATGTTCAAAAAACACATTATTTTTCAAATACTGTACATTATTGTAGGTCCTCTATGCCCCGCCTCTCTCAAACGCTTCGTTTTCTACAAAGTCCCTCCTTCCGACAAGCACAGTTTGCACTGATTGGCCAGCTGACCCAGTGCATTGTGATTGGCCGAACACCACAAGCACTCGTCAGAAATGTAACGCGCCTTACCATAATCGCAGCTTGAGTTTTCAACGTAAATATCAAGACAGTTAATAATGTCATTAGTTTTACCATCAGTTCAAGCCGGAAAGGGCAACAGAGTCACGTGACAGACACAATGATGATGCAGGACACAAGCCGTGGCTAAGACAGCTGACGGGTTATGATTTCTGACAGACAGTTCACTCTCCTGTGATGTGACCCTGTTCCCCTCACACACACTCACACACACACACACACACACTCACACACACACACACTCTCACACACACTCTCTCACACACACACACACTGTAAACCATGGCTTCACGGGGCTTACTGCTTTATTTGGTTGCTCAGTAAATGTCCTATAGTCGCATTTTTAATGTTCCTTTTTATCAATATTCAGATTTCATCAAATTTAATGTCAATGCTATAATTGGATGATTAGGATATATTGTCACAGATGCTTATAAAAATGTTTCATAGTAATATTATTATTTGTAATTCATTAATACATTGACATTGAAAATTTTTTTTTTGTGAAGCAGTCTCTCTTTTTTCCTCTTTGAATACATATACAATTTATAAACAGTATTTTACGACATAACTGGGAAATAGCGAATATGTCATGTCGGAAGTACGTCACGCGTTCAGTAAACCAATCACAATCCGACTCTTCGAGAGCTTAGCCAATGAACGCTGCGAATGCTTTTTAAAAACCCAGGCAGCAGTTATTTATCTCGGCAGCATGCTGTAGTGTTTACTATCTGATCCAAGATGGGAAAAGGTAAAAGAACAAGCTTGCACCTTTGCGTTTCACTCACAGACGTGCATCCGTTTGGCGAACTTGTTTAGTTGCTGGGGGAAAAATATATATGATTGAGGTTTAGTTTCAAAATGTTGCATTGAGAAGTAAGCATTGTTCAAGTCCTCTTCCGCCAAACGAAGAACCGGAGACGGCAGGATAAACCAGAAAGCTGAAGAGGCCAAAGAGAACAAGCACGGAAAGCAGCCAACAATACAAAGCTGTCTGAATCTCAGCAAGCCGCTTCGGAATAAACATATAGAGGACAATTTAGCAACGGGTGGTTTCCCTGAAGACACGCGCAAACCCAGTGAAGGTATCGGTTTAGATCGTATTAAAGGGACAGTTCACCCAAAAATGAAAATTCTGTCATTTAATTTCTTGCCCTCATGTCGTTCCAAACCCGTAAGACCTTAGGAACACAAATTAAGATGCATTTGAACGTAAAATTACGCTTTGGTTTGAACGTAAACCACGTATCCGCGCGCGCGACAACAGCATACTCTGTTTACGTTCAGTGGATACTCTCCAAAATGGCGCTTAGGGTGAGGCGGAGGAGACGAAATGTTGAATAAAGTCGTGTTTTTGCGCACAAAGTATTCTTGCAGCTTTGTAAAATTACGGTTTAACCGCTGGTGTCACATGGATTATTTTACCGATCTCCTTGCAATGTTCCTGGGCCTTGATCGTGTACGGGCCCTTGCTGTCTACGGGAGGGTCGGAGAGCTCTCAGATTCCATCTTCATTTGTGTTCCGAAGGTGAACGGAGGTCTTACGGGTTTGGAAGGACACGAGGGCGAGTAATGACTGAATTTTCATTTTTGGGTGAACTGTCGCTTTAACGAAATACCCATTTGCCATTGTGTCTCACCCAAATACTTTTCTCCAAAGTTGGTTTTACTTATCGCTTTCTTCTTTCTTTGGTTAGTCAAGGATGCAGAGCTGAATACACCTAAAGGAGGGGACCCTGGCAAACGGAGCCCTATCTGTGGAGCCAGTGAGCAGACTGCTGCTGTGCCTCAGAAAGGGTCTGGGACAAGGACGCTAAGGATAAATGGTGAAAAGTCAACGGATAGGAAGTATGTCTACTTTTAAATGGCTAAGAAATTGTTGAACGTTTTAAGGGTTTATCATCTGATTAAGGGACATATTGTGGGTGTGTTTGCCGTTTTGGAATGAAAGAGAAGGTTTATGTGCATCCTTTTCACTGGTCTTAACTGTGTGTTTCTCATTTCAGATCGAAAGACAAACCGTCTGGACCCAATCGAAAGGTCACAGATTATTTTCCTGTTAGACGAAGTTGCAGGAAGAGCAAAGTTGAGTTGAAGGTTGGTAAACCCTTCCAGAATCTGATTTTTTTTTTTACTTTATGCATTTTGGCCGTTCATAAATCTCACGTTATTGGGGTCGCTTCAACCCGTGGAAACCGTGTTAAAGTAGCCCAGTTTGGCAACACTGGTGCAAAGGCGTGTAGTGTTTCTTTACAAAGAGACATCGCCATAATACAGCATTTTTAGTCGTTTTTGCAGAACTGGGATCATTTTGACAATGTTGTCATCTATATGCAAAACTATTCAAAAGCGCAAAGGAAATTATTCATTTTTTCTGTTTTTAGTACAATCGTTGTTGTGTAAACGAACCCTTAATGTGCATTAACTCCGCCCCTGCAATCTTTGATGGCCACACCTACATTTCAAAAACCGATAATTGATGCGTTGAACCAAGTCCCACTCTACCCTTTTTTATTTTTACATTATACTCGTATCACAATACAGAAGAAGTGCGTGCTGCTATTTGAGTTTTGTTGTGATTTTAAGTTAAAATGGGGCATTTCTATACCCCTTTTCTGATACCAATTTACATTTGATGAATCAATTTGAACATGCATTTACTTTACCATTGTCAAACGTTTATTAAATCCCAAGCTAAATGTGGAAGTGTTGTGTTAAAACAGTGTGAAAAGCAGCGGCACATTGATGATCTCCTCAAAAACAATGTTGAAGAGGGGCTCAAGGTAAGCTGTTTAAGCAATCGCTCTACATTTGAACTTTTAACCGTTCATGCTTTGGTTGAAGCTTCTGCTATTCTCAAAATCAGGTGAAAAGTATTGAAGGAAAAGGAAGAGGTGTTTTTGCAGACCGGGCGTTTCAGAAAGACCAGTTTGTAGTGGAGTATCATGGGGATTTGTTAGAGATTGCAGATGCAAAGGCAAGAGAAACTCAATATGCTGAAGACCCAACCACTGGCTGCTACATGTACTATTTCCGCCACTACGACAAAACCTACTGGTGAGTATTTTGGTGCGTTTTATCTTTTATAAAACTAACCGTCTCCTGTTGTGAAGATCTCACTTTGTGCATTGATATGCTTTAATGAAGTGAACTTTGCGATCTGTGTGAACTAGGGTTGCAAAGGGGTGGAAAATCTCAAAAAATCCCTGGAATATTCCAAAAAATCCTGGAAAGTTCCCAAAATTTCTGTAATGTTTCCAAAATTTGCTGGAAATGTTCCACCTTTTTGCAACCCTAGTATGAACCGAGCTGAACTCCTCAGTTGGGTCTGTTAAATCTACTTGGAATTGATAAGAGAGAAAATGATAAGAGAGACAGATAAAAATGGTATGTCTACTTTTTTTCTAGTGTGGATGCTACCAAAGAAACCAACCGTCTGGGCCGGCTGATCAACCACCATAAGACTGGCAACCTTCGGACCAAACTGCACGAGATAAATGGCACACCTCACCTCATCTTCCTTGCTTCCAGAGACATCGGAGTAGACGAGGAGCTGCTGTATGATTACGGTGACCGCAGTAAAGAAGCCGTCGCTGCTCATCCTTGGCTAAAGCACTAATTCACTCGGTTTAGTAGTTTTCTGCTGATAGAATCTAAAGGGAAGTGGTATAATGTTAACATGCAATGATGTGTTGAGTCGCCAAAGTAGTTCACCATTACAGATGGTACCATAAAATGAATGATCTTGTCTTTTGAAAGACGCACAGTAGCTGTAACTTATTGTTTTAAAGTGTTTTTTTACATCTTGGGTTGAGGCTGAATGATATGAACCTTTTGAGCTAATTGTTTAAACCGTTGTAAAAAGTTAATTTAATGAAAATGTGCTCACCCTCGTGTCATTCCAGACTTTTAGGACTCTTTTCTTCTGAAGAACAGAAGCTATTTTGAAGCATGTTTCAGCTGTTTTTGTTCACTCAGTGGAAAGGAGTAATTGGATAACAATATCTTGCACAAGAAAGATAAAGTATAAGTGTTTGGAATAACACGAGGGTGAGCAAGTGACCAGTTTCTTTATTTGGTTGAACTATTCATTTTAATAAGAGCTTGTTTAAGAACACGCGTCTGATTTTAAGGATGAGATTAATATTCAAATGGGTGTAGTTACTGTACATTTGTATATGCAAAAATAAGTGTTTAATCGTAAAACAATTATACCACATTTTTATGAAATTGTTGGTTTTGATTCCTTTGTCTTTAACCTTTGTTAAATTATATAAGGATTTGTAGCATTACAGAAGCACAATATAAACCATATGCCGATTTAAAATGAAGTGCAAAAAACTTAGCATAATGGTTGTTTTTAGACAGTTTCTTTTAATCACAAATACACTTATGATTGAAAAATAAATTAATCTTCAAAGCCTAACTTCCAAATGGTCTACCATTTTAAAAACTTGACTACTATTGTAATTCCAATCAGAAGAACATATGGCTAAGTGATACACTTGCTATTTATTTTTATATATATATATATATACATTGCAACTTATCATACAAAGAAACATGTGGTGTTAAGCACCACTGTAAAGTAGGAGATAAATACTAGAAAACTGGATTCTGTAAGCATGCTTATCATAGCAAATTAAAGGAACACTCCCCTATTTTTGAAAACAGGCTCATTTTCCGACTCCCCTAGAGTTAAACCGTTGAGTTTTACCGTTTTCGAATCCATTCAGCCGATCTCTGGGTCTGGCGGTAGCACGTTTAGCTGTAGCGTCAAGTTTTAAATAGGAAAAATATAGAAACTCTTTGGTCATTTTTGAGCGAGATGCTAACGGTCTAATCAGATTCAATGATCTATGCTAAGCTACAGCTAAAAGTGCTACCGCCAGACCCGGAGATCGGCTGAATGGATTCGAAAACGGTAAAACTCAACTGTTTAACTCTAGGGGAGTCGGAAAATGAGCCTGTTTTCAACAATAGTGGAGTGTTCCTTTAATATTACTGGTCATTATACTATTCTTTGAGCCATTATACTTAAAAAAATAAAATAATAATTGTGACAAGATTTCTATTGCATTTCAAACATAACATTACATAGGAAACATACAATACAAACAAATATGGGGGGAAAAACACACCAGATCAGAACTCGGACTCAAAAAAACTTTATATATACAGGATTCTTCACATGCCTAACAAGAAGTAATACAAGTCCTTATAAAAACAAAGAAATAATAGCTGGGTGAAAGTTGAAGATTTTTGATTTTCCGATCCAACAAGGAAAATGAAAGAGAACTTGTGTAAGAGGGCCAAATGTTTAACCATTTGAATAATTCAATCTCATGCATGTTATGTTATACAACTGCGTTAAATCCAGTTAACTCCATAATCTGTGTGTGAACAACAGGGCCCATGTACTCAGCGTTTCTTAATACCTGGTATTGCAGAAGAAAACTTGACTCGGCTGTCATAAAATTTGTCCAGGCTATCTACTTCATTACAGCTAATACTGCGAGCCAATAAAAGTGAATTTTTACCTTCATATGACCCACAATTTCCCACTTCACATAAGATTCAGTGCACTACACATGACCTCGTACAGCAGACTTTTTCGTGTTTTAGTTGTTATTGAAGTACCTCAATTTTAACCCTACAACTCCTAATGTAATGTAAAATTAAAACTAGAAAGTGCTAAATCATATGGACAGTTTTGTCCTAAAGCTTGTCAGCCGTTGCAACCGATACAGACTGAAGAGGTTTTCTAATTCAGTGAGCACTCAAATAAGATCTTAGAGCCTCATATGACATATATATATAAATCAATGCGTTTCAGCAGATTTAATTAGGTTTAGTACTGTCACCAAAATAGTACCTAAATGTGTCTTTGTGCTATTCATAAAATGACTGATATAAAATTGATTCTAGTAATGTCATATATTTCAGTAAAAGATACTGTGGTAATGGAAGAATGTTAATCTAGTATGCTTCAAATAGTCTGCAAATGTGTATTAGCTACTAGAGGTGTTTAGAGAGACATTTGCGTTTCTGACATCTAGTTGTTTGGCTTCACACACGACACCAGAGTTAAAAATGTACACAATTAAAAACACACTGAGTAGGAGGATTTCCAGCCACAAATGGGTCAGTATTGTTAAAAAATAATAATAGTGAGATCACTTCTTCCCATCTCTCCTCAGTCTGTTGGAAGGGGCTTTGCTTGTCTCAAATGTGTTTTAGCTTGTGCCAAATCCTGGCCACTATTTTTGTCGAAACGAGAATCTGAAAAAGAGAGAGAGGGCGCAGTTTGTCAGCAAGATGACGGCGACACAATGAGTCCAAAAATACGGTCGTGTGGCAAAGAGCTATACAAAATCTAAAACAGCATTCTTCTTTAGAGCAAGATGTTTGTAGGGAAAAAAGGCAGCGTGGCTTAATGCACAGATGTGGACATACGTTTACCGAGCAGCTGAGTCAGCTTTAATAAATCTCTGCCAATCACTAAAGAAATGTCATAAACATCTTCAACAAAGGTGCAAGCATTCACTGATGCTCAAGAAGGAAACATGATGCATAAAGAGATGGAGGTGAAAATTTCAAAAAGTTTACACTCTCTGGATAAGAATTTCAATTATTTTACTTTTTTTTTAATTATTATTATTATTATTCATGAAAATTCTGTGAACTTAGAATTTTGTGATGATTTTTAATGAATGACCAAAATGATGATGATAAGAACAGGGAACACAAAAAGAAAATGACATTTTCCATGGTCTTGTTTTGCTCGTATTTCTCAATGGTATCAAGTTTTGGTATCCTTGCCACAGCCATTTTTAGCTTGCTCACTGGACACTCAAAGACATTAGAGCACACTTCTTGTGAAGCTATTGACATTAAAACGCATATCTCTGTAAAGCTACTTTGAAACAATATTCATTTTATGATTTTGACAAATGTATAACTCAAGATAGAAGGGTAGACTCCAAACCTGCTTCACTTTCCCACTACTGCTAACATGAGTCTTCAATAAATGAATAAAGGAACAGAATTTCAACAAGACACGGCGGGTTTACAGGTACACACTCCTGCTTTACAATACTGGCATATGCATTCAATATAATGCAATATAAAAGTCACTTTTACACTACCTGTCGAAAGTTTGGAAGAAATAGCTGCTTCTGGTCGTGCGTATGTGGGGTAAAGCAGCAGAGCTTTTATTATGCCACAGTCGACCGCTTCCGCTGCTTCCGGTCCTGCGTATGTGGGGTAAAGCAGCGGGGCTTTTATTATGCCACAGTCAATTATGCGTGTGACTAGTTAAAATTGCTTATTTCTCTGGATTTAAACATTCTTCGAAACATTTGGGATAATGTAAGTACACAAGTCAGCAAAATATATAACACCGTTCTAGTGGTTTTTGGATATTTTAATTAAAAAATCGTACATATTGTGCTTTTAAATATGTAATTTCTAAATGTTATATTTGAACTGAAACTTAGTTGATTTAACGTTATTACAATTAAAACGGTACATCAGCCATTTCTTCTCCTACTTTCAGATGAATGAACACAAGTATAAGGACTGATGTGGAAATGCACAAAGCTCAAGCAAAGACAAAACTAGTTAAAAGCGCTCACAGTTTCTGAATGGTGCTCTTCTCTTTGTTCTCCTCTACAACACTGGACGGTGCAGCTTCTGACTGAGGAAGGGTCTCCAGGTTTACTTCCACCATCTTCTGCTCTGATCCCAGGACCCCACTGCAAGCACAGCAGATGCTAAATCTGACTGAGACCACACATATCAAATTCATTATTGCATGATGTCGTTTCACTCAGAATTGTTTTATTTGCTGTTGAGATTAGGCCAAACCAACACACAAGTCACACTTGTCAGTACTTCCCTGTAAATTATTTCTTGCTAGTTGACAGTAGTATTAAAGGGATAGCTCACCTAATAAATCCGAGCCATATACATAACATGTTTTCTTCTGCAGAACACACAGCAAGATATTTTGAAGAACACTGGACTCAATGGACACGGACGCAATTTTCTAAATATCTTCTTTTGTGTCCCACAGAAGAAAGATATAACAGGTTTAACAACGCGAGTAGACTTCCATGTTATTCACAATTTGCACACAACATGCTGTATAATGGAACAACACAGAAACACAGCCGTTTACAAATATATAGTAACTCTATAGTGACACCCTCTGCAACCCTGTTTTTACCTCTTGTAGAGCTGTAGCTCCTCTTGGGCCAGCAGCAGCTGGGCTTTGAGTTTGTTTCGCTCCTGCAGAACCTCCTTTAACTCTTGCATGGTGAATCGGGGTCGGTTTGGGTCTTTTAAGTCCACGACTAGTTTGTTTGGCCCAACGGTCTGTTATTAAACAATACAATTTGTATATACAAGTGTTTGCACAAACTGGAAATAGACTGTGACTTTAATCAAGAAACCTTTGCGGTCAAGTTTTTAAATAAGTAAAATATTCAGTTTCACTTGTTAAAAGGCTACAAGACCATTAACATGCATTAAGAAAATACATAGGGTCAATTTTGATTTGCGTGCCTACTTTAACTCTAGATGCCTTTTTGGGGTTCCCACTTTGAGTTCTGCTCATAAGCCATATACATAGTGTGGTAAAGGAATATATTGACAGCATTTGTGGCATAATGATTACCACTCATCCCTCCTTTTCTTTATGTATAAAAAACAAAATCTGGGTTACAGTGAGGTGTTTAGAATGGAAGTAAATAGGGCCCATCTTTAAACTACTCCGTTTCAATAGAAGACAGACGTCACAATAATAAACCCTAAAACGACTGCAAAAATTACGATTTAACCAGCTTTACAGCTCAAGTAATACAGACGTTTTAAAAGAACAATTATTGTAAGTGCTTCTAAGTTTCATATTTGTGCTTTTAAAGGAAATGTTCACCCCAAAATTGTTAACTGATGAACTGGAGTGCTGTGGATTATTGTGATGTTTTTATCAGCTGTTTGGACTCTCATTCTGACGGCACCCATTCACTGCAGGGCATCCATTGCGGAGCAAGTGATCCAAATCTGATGAAGAAACAAACTCATCTACATCTTGGATGGCCTGAGGAGTACATTTTAATTTTTGGGTGGACAATTCCTTTAAGTTCTCCCAAAAGACCCCCACTCGCTTTTGTGCCTCGTTATCACCTCCTTTTTTTAAGAAAGGGAAGGATGAGTCGAAATTATTTGTATGATAATCAACATTACGCTATAAATGCTGTCGACTGAGCTTAACTTGTATTGAACCGGAAATGTTCCTTTAAAGGGGTCATATGATGCTGCTAAAAAGAACATTATTTTGTGTATTTGGTGTAATGAAATGTGTTTATGCAGTTTAAGGTTCAAAAACACATTATTTTCCACATACTGTACATTATTGTTTCTCCTCTATGCCCCGCCTTTTTGAAACACGTCGATTTTTACAAAGCTCATCGGTCTGAAAAAGCGAGGTGTGCTCTGATTGGCCAGCTATCCAGTGCGTTGTGATTGGCCGAATACCTCAAGCGCATGACGGAAATGTTACGCCCCTTACAATACTGTTGATGGCGTGTCCCGGCCGGAGCGACGAGACAAAAACATGAAAACCCATTATAAACGAGGCATTTGTTGCATCCAGTGGGGACATAATTACTGATTATAATGACTTATACTGTCTTTTTACGTGTTGCGTTGCATCGTGCCGCGTAAACATAAAACCATGTCTGCATTTGTGATCGGAGAAATGACAAACAACAAGATCAACTCCAGGCATGACGAAGCGATATCGTCCTCTTTTGGAAGACCAAACAAAGTAGTTTCACTTTCACGACGAAAAACACAGCGGCCTAGCGTGAGAGGAAGCCCCGGCTTAGCGTGCGCTGAGGCCAGGATAGAGTGAGCGGAGGCGGCGGGGTCGAGAACAGCGCGGCCGGCGGATCTGACGAATGAGCGACAACCACATGTGACGACCCCCGCTGAACTCCGCTTCGTCCACGGTGAAAGCCGATCCGGCGATCCACAGCACTAAGTTGATGTACTCCCTCAGCGACCAGCACGGATCAGCTCCAGGCATGACGAAGCGGATATCGTCCTCTTTTGGAAGACCAAACAAAGTAGTTTCGCTTTCACAACGAAGCACACAGTGTCTTCACGAAATGGCGTCGGCGGCAGCAACAATACTACAGCGAGAATAAAAGTTACACCTTCTTTCTTTGCGTGAACATTTGGGCGGCGTTATGCAAATCTTCCCACATAGTGATGTAGATATGTGGGGGCGTGTTAGAACGAGCCGTTTTAGGTAGGAGTGGCTGACTCTTAACTTTTATAAAGAATATCTCTTTGGATTTGAGACTTTAGTCTTTGCAACTTTACAGATCTTCTTTATGCACCAAGAGCTTGTAACACTCCATCATATGACCCCTTTAAGAAAAGAAAGAGTCGAAATTATTTGTGTGATAATCAACATTACGCTATAAATGCTGTCGACTGAGCTTAACTTGTATTGAACCGGAGATATTCCTTTAAATAGAACCGAATGTGATGATGCACATACAGTGAACTCTACATGACCCCACTCACAGTGTTAACATCACCACTCGAACCTTCTGCTACAACTCTTTCCATTTCTCGCTTCATATTCTCCAGCTCCATCCTCAGCTCCTCCAGCGACAGGTTGTATTTGTTCACCATGGTCTCGAACATCTCCAACACACGGACGATTTTGAACTGTAAATCCGAGCACTCCCGGCTACCCGTGTTGACTTTTAATAAATCTCTGCCGATCACGTAAGAAATGTCATAAACATCTTCACAAGTCATTTCCAAAACGTCCTTATCGAAAGCCTGCATGGGTGAACTATCGTGTCGCCCCTCCATTCTGATCCAAGACGAACTATGCAATCACTGTAAAAAAACTCAAACGAGGAATCTTTCCAAGATATGGCGAGCTCCAGCTCACCGTCCCAATGCATTCACTAATTACTTCCTTGCTCGACTTTACTGCAACTTACTTCGAGCGTTTGAGTGAGGTGTGAACCAGCCAATGGCTGAGCCGCTGCATGAACAAATCAACAACAATTTTGTTAAAAATGTATCACACAAAGAGACCAAAAGAACCCACTGATAAGCGGCAACAAATAAATATCACAATATCATTTTTATTATCATACACTAGAGGAGATGAGAGTAGACTCTCGCTTGTAAACATGCTTTTGCTGCTAAATTATAATCTAGAGCTGACTGTAGCACGTGCGGGAAGATGTGCCATCCAATGTGTTCAGTGGCGAAGTAAATACATGTGTAAATACATTTGGGGTTTTTTAACAGCACAAAAGTGAAAATCGTGAAAATAGGATTCCTTGCACCATTACTGACCTGTTTATTTATTTATTTGCAGTCAGAGCTGGTAGTAACTGATTACAGGTAATCTGGATGGAGTAATCGGATTCCAAAAATACTTGTAATTAGATTAAATTATATTTTAAAATACTCTGAATCTTTTTTTTATTGATTACATGATTACATATTATTCACACAGTAGCACTAAATAATTCAGATTTTATTGATTCTCCCTAATGTGGCATTTAAAGTTTCCTTTCTATAATGTCCTACCGATTATACATTCAGAAAGTCTTCCAGTTTTGTGGATTTTCACACTAAGACCAGTCACTATTCAGGAGGCTATGCCACTGGATTTACAAAAAAATCATTTCAGGTTTAAGAAGAGTTTCAACGTTGCATCAACGACTAATAAACATATTAATTTTTATTTGAATTATCACTCAGTAGGTTATTTAACCGTGTATTACTTTGTCTTTGTAAGGCTTTTGTCTTTCAAACACATTAAAATGCACAAATTCACACTCTTATTTACATGTAATGCAGGGATTCCCAAACTTTTTTTGTCATCTGAACCTCATTCACCTAATATATGTACTTAAAGTACCCCTGAGATTTTAAAATAAATGTTATAGGCCTAATTAAGTATCGCATTTGCATTTTCACAGTTAATGGTCACATGACATGCAGGTAAACAAATAAATTACTTACATTTTTTTAGTAAGTGTTTTATTTTGATTGATGTTATTTTAATTTTTATGATTAAAGGGGTCATATGATGTTGCTAAAAAGAACATTATTTTGTGTGTTTGGTGTAATGCAATGTGTTTATGCGGTTTAAGGTTAAAAAAAAAACATTTTCCACATGCTGTACATTGTTTCTCCTCTATGCCCCGCCTTTCTGAAAATTTTTACAAAGCTCATCGGTGTTCACAGTTAATGGTCACATGACATGCAGGTAAACAAATAAATTACTTACATTTTTTTAGTAAGTGTTTTATTTTGATTGATGTTATTTTAATTTTTATGATTAAAGGGGTCATATGATGCTGCTAAAAAGAATATTATTTTGTGTGTTTGGTGTAATGCAATGTGTTTATGCGGTTTAAG